TGAGTGTGTGGGTGCTGGGGCAGAGGAAATAGAAAACTTGTAATTCTGTTGCCTGCATATACCAAATGCTGATAGTTGTCAACCGAATCACTGCTTCCTTCATGAACTCAGTTGCCTGGGTTCCTACAACACAGTGAGCCACAGATTATGCAACCATATTTTAGTCTCATATGTTGTGTAAATCCAGCCACTGTATCTGGGTCATCAAGAGTCATTATAACTGACCAAGCAAAGTATTGGATGGATGTGGAGGAAGGTCCGCTGCTCAAAAAGCTGTGGAGCACTCCCCTCATTTATGGGTGGAAGGAAGGGAGCCTGGACTTCCTGCTCCATCTCCTTCTCTCCCTCTACAGTATTTTAAGTTTCTTGCTCCGCAAGAGCAGCAGTTAAGTTGCCTCTCAAGACTGCTTGGTGGTGGGAGTCTAAAGGCCTCCTGGTTGCCATGGCGATTTATAAGCCCTGAGTATGGAGGAACCAAGAAGAGGTGAGGTTTTCCATGGCTCCTCTTGCAATACGTCTGTGCTTCTCATTCTCCCATCCCACCACTGTTCCAGTTCCTTTCTGCCAAAGAAGGTGTCCGCTGGTGTGCCAGGCTCCTGGACGATGCAACTGCAAAGGGGGATGTATTGTGTGTGCCATCTGGAGCCAAGAGGCAGAGGAGATGCTTGACAACCCCATCCCGCCCCCAGCCTCTTCCTTTCTCCATTCCACCCTTGGCTTTTCTTACTAAGTAGGTGGCTCTGGCAGATGCCTTTAATTAAAAGACAGCCATGTCTCCCCTCCCCACCCAAACAGGTACAGAAGAGGAGCATGGGAAGTAGACACCACCCAAGGTGTAAATGTGGTGCTCCCTCAAAGCAGTGTCCTTCTTCCATCTACCCACAAACTGCTCCTATTTTCTGTAGTGAGGAAGAGACCACCTTACCCCAGAGCAACACTTTTGGTCCATCTGGAGTGCTGATGGCAGCTATTTGGATTTTTAGGCAAGAATCTTTCTGAGCTGTACCTGCAACAGCTACCTGGCACCTTCTGCCAAGCAGGCCCATCTCCTTCTCAAACAATTGGCAGCTTGACAGTTTCTCTCCATCCAGAGATCAATAGTGCAAATGTGCCTGGAGCATCAAGATTGGCCAGCTAAGCTTCGTGTTCCAGAAGCAGCTGTGGGGTTGACTGGGCCCTTATGGGACGGGAAGATCAAAGGTTGGGACTCAGAGGCCCTTTGCAGCAGCTGCGGGGGAGGCAGAGTCTTCCTCTGACTCGGGCCATTCTAGACTCAGGAGGAGCCCCTGTCATGGCGGGGCGAGTACTGGGGTCCCTCAGACCTAAAGCTAGCCCCTCAGCCTCCATAGCAAGAGTGGTGGTAGCTCTGTGCCCCTGCTTCCACCAGTATTTCACGGCACAGCTCTGGGGCGAGGGCCCCGCTCTCGGCAATCCTGCTGGCCCTGCCCTCTCCTGTGCCTGGGACAGATGTCTTCTCCTCAGCTGTTTCTGCGTTGGGTCTAGAATTAATTGGTGGGGCAGTCATAGCTGCCTGCTCCTCTTATGATTTGCTCTTTCTCCAAGGGTGGAAGAGAAAGGAGGAACGAGTTAGCATGCAGAGCAACACATCTTTGCGGCAGACTCAGCGCAGACTGAGCACTTTGCTCTGTGTAGTTTACTCTTCCTCCCTCCGGAGTGCGCACACACATGACGGGCGGGGGTCCCTTCTGTTACACAGAGAGAAGATAGAGAAAATGCGTCCCCCAGGGATGCTGCCTACCTGCTGAATCAAAGTGAAGGTAGCTGTGAAGGTCAGTAGCAGCTTTCAGAGCAGGTGGTCCCTGGCTCAGGCCCCAGCAACATCTGGGGGGCCACTGATGGGGTTGGTCAGCAGAGCCCATAGAAAGGGGCTTCCTGCCCTCATAAGAAGCAAGGGAGTCAAGGAAGGAGGCCAACCTCTGGGTCTCCGTGCTTTGGGGTCAGAGGGGGCTGCTTGCTTCTCCCTCCCTCACCGACTGGAGGAACCACCACAGCCCCACATGGAGCACAGCCGGACTGCAGAAAGAGCCTTCTCAGCAAAGACCCTTCAGACCTTCCACCCACCCGCTGGACCGCCTGGACACCGCAGCCGAGGAGACCCTGTAGCGGCAGCACCCCGCAGTGGTGGACTGACAGCAACAAGATTATGGCTGTTATGCCGCCCCCGCCGCTTGTTCTCCGCGACGGCTGCCGCTGCCCCCTGCTGGTCCCAGATCGAACATCCGTTTTCCCCATCTACGAAATGCTCGCGCCGAGGCCGATCTGCCTCCTACTCTCTCCCCGAGAGGCGCCAGCGCTGCCCGGTTAGGGGATAGGGGAGTGGGCAGGTCTTCCTGCAGAGGCAACCAGAGCCCCAGGAAGCAAGTAGGCAGCTAGCGCGTCCCAGGAAGGGGGGCGGCAGGATCTCGCCCCCCGGAGGAAGCTCACACCAGACGGCGCTCCCTTTGGAGCAAGTATTGCAACCGGAGACGGCGTTAAACCGGGAGAAGAAGAGAAGGGGACAGAAGGGTGCTAAAGTCCAGCTGCCGCCTAATGATCGTCTGGATGAGTGCAGCCCGGATCTATAGCCCTACTTCGCCCATCCCCAGGACCAGTCCTCTGCCCCCGCAAGGCCGCCACTCCCCCTCTTTTGCATGGGCGGCTGTTGTGACCCCTGAGAATGCCTTCGCCGGCTCGAATTCTTGACAGCTCTCGGGCTCAGCCGGGGGGGCCTTCCCATGGAACCCGCCCCCACCGCCCGGAAAGACCAGGGTTAGTCGCGAGAAATGCGCCGCTCGGAGATCCTGGCAGACTGGAAGACTCGTTCGCGCCCAGCGAGCCTAGATCCCCTTTCGAAGGAGGACTTTCGGACTGACTGGGAGCAGGCAGAAACCCTCC